CCCGAGTTTCACGCACCAAGCGCGCGCGCGCCTCCTGCTCTGGCCGGAACCGGAAGCTGCTGCTGCTGCTGCTGCTACAACGACCGCCGCCGCCAGCGCTTCCGGCGCAGGAGCTGGCCCTCGCGGGGCTCTTCCGGCCGGCCAGTCAGAGGGCAGCGGTGGGCGTGGCCTCTCGTGGGCCCCGCCTCTTCGCACTGGCGCGCAGGACCGAAAAATGGTTTTTGGATTCTATCTCCCAGAATCCCCTTCAAGCCAACATGGCCACTGGCTGGAGGATTCTGGGAGAGAGTCTCCCCCCCCCAACCCATCCACCCACACACACACACACATAAAGCACAGCTCCTCCAAGTGTGACTAGGTCAAACGTGCTTTTTGGCTTTCCGCAGCAACCGACCGGCACACCTTTTGCGGCCAAGAGTGAGAATCTGGGTGAGGAGACGGCGCCAGACAGTCGCCTTCTGTTTCTGTGGAACTTCCCACGTATCAGTGATCCTTACTTACAATACCTGCATAAGGCAGGCTGGTCTCGTTCTCCCGGTGGAACGCCTTGCTAAGGCCAATTCCTCTGGCATTTGGGGCCAAAGGAGGAACAGAACTCAGAATCTGGCCGCCCCTCCCTCCCCTCTGCCACCACATCCCGCTATTTCTCCTGAGGCGGTGGTGGCTGCCTTTCCCTGAGCTGACCGGGTGCCCAGAGTTTGCGTAACCTGAACACAGAGGAGAAACGGCCCACCCGTGGCTCAGTGCTGCCAGCCCAGCAAAGAGTTTATCCGAGATCCCAGAGAGAGAGAGAGAGAGAGAGAGAGAGAGAGAGAGAGAGAGAGGTGTTTCCCAGGCCACTGCAAAACGAAGATGCCAGGAAATGAACCCATCATGCTTGGCCCGAGAAGCCACAGCTGTACCACTAAGCTACGGCCCTCCCTCAGGGCACCACTTCACCTTCCCTTGCGCGGCCATCATTCCCCCCCCTTTTTTTTTTTTTGGAGCATCTGCTGCGAATCCAATCCAACTGGCTGCGCCTCCACTCCCAGCCACCCCATGGAACCGTTCACACAGCCGCCTCCACCTCCCAGCCCAGCTCTCTCGACTCCTCCGAGGCCGAAAGAGAAGCCAAGCACTCCGGCTGAAGGCTCTTCGGGCCCCCAGGACAGGGCTCTGATCAGCCGCCAGGAGGAGGAGGAGGAGGAAGAGATGATGCTGGGAGGGGGATGATGCTCCCGCCGGGCACCCGCTGGCTGGCTGGCTGGCTGGCTGGGGGGAGGAGGAGAGCGCCCAAGCCTCCCCCTGCCTGCCCGTGGGCTGGGCGCGCCTGCCTTGCCAACGCCTGGCCTGCCCAGAAAGAAAGAAAGAAAGAAAGAAGGGGGGAAGGGAGGGAGGGCAGCCACCAGGGATGGGGGGGTGTCCCTGTCTGTGTGGGGCTGCCCAGAGTTGGGACCGGTTTGGCTGTGGGCTCAGATGCCTTTGGCCCTGGGCCCTCCGTCGCTCTCCCCTCCTGTCCACGAGAAGGGCCGGCCCGGCGCCCGGGCGCTGAGGCCCTGCAGGTGGGAGGGCGGTTTGTGTAGCCGGGGTGGGTGGGCTTGCCTGCTGCCCGCTGCCCAGCCAGTTGCCTCTCAGGAGGATCTTTGGGGGCCTGGGTGGGGAGCTGAGCCCTGAGCCGCAGCCCTGCCTGTCACTCTGGAGCTGATCCGCCTTCTCTCCCTACCAGGTAGAGGAAGGGGCTTCCCCAGGAAGGGCTGGAGCGATGCCGCCCCCCGCAGACATCGTCAAGGTGGCCGTGGAGTGGCCTGGGGCCAATGCCCAGCTGCTTGAGATTGATCAGGTGGGAGCAGCAGGCCTACCTGGGCAGGCGAGGGGGGGAAGGACCGCAGGTGGGTGGCGGGGGCGGTGGCAACAGGAAGGTGGACTCTGGAGAAGCTTCAGCGGGCCGAGGGGAGGCCCTGGGTCAGAGCACCTGGGGGGTAGCTGCAGGGTGTAGGGGCTCAGGTCAGTGGGGCTCAGCCTCCGGGAGGGTCCTGATTTCTTTCTCCCCCCCCTCCTCAGAAGCGCCCCCTGGCCTCCATCATCAAGGAAGTCTGCGATGGGTGAGTGCTGGTGGGGTCTGTGGGGCTCCCCAGGGGGCAGGTGGGCTTCTTTTTCAGTCCGCCTGCTCTTGCTGCAACTCTCCGCGGAGACCCACAGGCAGTCCCGGCGGAGCACAAGCCCCCAGCTTCCTCAGCCGAGCCTGCTTCTTTGAGGTGCTCCCGGGCATTGTCTTCCTGGCGCCACTTCTTCCCTCCTGCTGTTCTTCTCCCTCCAGGTGGTCGCTCTCCAACCCAGAGTACTACACCCTTCGCTATGCAGACGGACCCCAGCTGTACATCACGGAGCAGGTGGGCCTGTGTCCCTGCCTTCTTTCTGCCCCTGCAGAAAATGGGCGGTGGGATTCTGAGCCAATTGGCACTCTGGACCCCAAAAGGACCAGACGGGATCCTTGCCAACAGTGCAGGGCCCCCCACCAGCCCCTCTGCTCACCTGTGCCCCTCCGCAAAGAGACCGTTGCCTGTTTTGCCTTGCAGACGCGTGGTGACATCAAGAACGGGACCATCCTGCAGCTGGCGGTTTCTCCAGTAGGTCTGGGCTGATCTTGACCCCTCCCAGAGCTGAGGGTGGGCAGCTTCTCCCCCTTCGCGCCCCTCTCTGGATAATGTTGCTCTCGCTTCTCCTTGGGGTAGCGGAGGGACCTTGGCTGCTCATGTTTCTGGGCATGAGGCCGTCCTGCCCAGCGAGCAGAGGGCTGTTTTGGAGATGGCGCCAAAGGACAAGTTGGTGCCCTGTTTCCCTCCCAGTCTAGGGCTGCCCGCCAGCTGATGGACCGGAGCCAGTCGCACAGCATGGAGGCCCGGCTGGAGGCTGTGAAGGAGCTGGCCAAGCTCTCCGCCGACGCGACCTTTGCCACTGAGTTCATCAACATGGAGGGAATATCGGTGCTCACCCGGCTGGTGGAGAGTGGAACCAAGCTTCTCTCCCAGTAAGCCCTGGTTTGGCTGTCACCTCCTGGGCAGCGCCTCCCCGCCCCCCCCGGTTGCCCCCTCTGTCTCTCTCGGTTCCCTGCCTGGTTTGTCAGCCATGTGGGGGGTGGGGGTGGCAGGAGGCTGCCGTTTCTGGCCATGACCGTCAGAGGAAGGGGAAAGGCATCCTCTCAAAGGTAGACACTGCCGCGCTGAGCTGGCAGCAGGGACTGGGAAGGCTGCAGAGGGATGCCAAGGGCTAGTGTAGACCTCTTTGGGTGGGTGGGAGAAAGAGGGCAGGGAACAAAGGTCACGGCATCTGGGGCCCCGGAGGAAGGGGGGAAAAGGAAGACCCAGTAGAAGAACATGACCGTTGTAGATACAGCCAAAGGAAAAGGACAGGCGATTGGAGAGCATCTTGTCGCATGAAGGTGCAGTGGGTAGATCCAGTGGCGCTGAGCAGTGGGAGGTGGAGGAAAAGGGGAAGGAATGAAGAAAGGACTTCTGAGCAGAACACAGAGTCAGGTGGGACCCTCTCCCCCAAAAAGGCATCTCCAGGCACCCGCATGGCACTACCTCTAGTGCCAGTTGCCAAGGCCACGCTTTCCTTAGGCAAGTGGTGAGGGCGTGCTGGGTCATTAACATCTTCAGGAAGGAAGAAGCAAGGCAGAGAGAGAGAGAGACAGGCATCTTGTGCAGCCTCTTGCTCCCCTGTATAGGCTGCAGAATGGGGCTGCCTGAAGCTTTGTTCCCATGGGATGCCCAGATGTTACGGCAACATTCCCAGGTGGTCCCAGAAGTTGTGAGTTCTGGCAAGAAGGCAGAGAGCCCTCTGGGGTCTCTGCTGGTTGCTGAATGGCATGGGCAAGTGTGCTTGATGGCATGGCTGGCTGGAGGGGGAGGCCCTCTGGGACAAGCCCCCCCCCCCAGGAGCTGACAGGAAAGAGCTTGGGCCCGGAGGCAGCCCTGGCAGAGTCCTCCAAAGGCTGGCCTTTCCTGTCTCCCATTTTTGCAGCTACAGCGAAATGCTGGCATTCACCCTGACGGCCTTTCTCGAGCTCATGGACCACGGCATCGTCTCCTGGGATGTGGTCTCCGTTACCTTCATCAAGCAGGTGTAGTCCACCAGGAGGAGATGGCGGCAGGTTGGAGGTGGAGAAGTAGTGTTGAGTTGTTGCAGAATCTGGTCCCGAGCAGCAGCTTGTGTTTTCTTCCTGCAGATTGCTGGGTATGTGAGCCAGCCGACGGTGGACGTCTCCATCCTGCAGCGGTCCTTGGCCATCTTGGAGAGCATGGTGCTGAACAGCCAGAGCCTGTATCAGAAGATTGCAGAAGAGATCACAGTCGGGCAGCTCATCTCCCACCTGCAGGTGTGAGTATCAGAGCCTCGGGTGCTCTCTGCCAGACCTCTATGACCCCCAAGGCCCTGGCCAGCTCGGGTGGGCAGAGCAGTGGTGGCAGCTACGGGCCTGGCCGTCATCTCCGTCCCCCGTTCCAACTTGCAGGTCAAACCAGGAGATCCAGACTTACGCAATCGCCTTGATCAACGCCCTCTTCCTGAAGGCCCCGGAGGACAAGAGGCAGGTGGGTCACCAGCATTCCAGTAGCAGCCGCCCCGGCCTGGCCCCCCGTGTGGCGGGTGATTGTCTCCCAGGGGGCACTTGGCTATCGTGGGACAAGGGGTGACCCTGTCCAGGGAGAGGTGTCCCTGAAGTGATGACTGTAAGGCCTTGCTTCTCTGCGTGGTGGGTGTGGCGTTCCTCGTGTGTCTTTGCTCATTGGCATCCATGTCCTGCGTGCCCCCCCATCACCCCTGCCAGCCCCACCATCTGCGTTTTCTTGTGCCTTTTTGCCAGCAGGACGTGCTGCTTAACCCACTCGGCTTGCCGTGCACTGTAAGTAAGGGCTCGCGCCAGGGAAGGGAAAGAAGGGTGTCAGCTCTGAATGTGTGCACCTTCCTTGTCTTCTCTTGCGGTGGTGGTGGTCATCATTGGGAGAGCGAACCACTTTGGAGACCCTGCTTAGAAGCAGGATGCCTGACGCGAGAAGGCTGGGATGGGCAAAGTACAGAAAAAGCCCTTGACCGGGCTCAGCCCCAGCGTGGCTTCCGCCTGCGGCCGCTTGCTGTTCCCGCTGCTCCTCCTGCTTTGCTCTGCCGCCGCTGTGGTCTCATCTTAGACGGGGCAGCAGGACTGTGTGAGGGGCCCAGGAAAATGCCCTGGAGTGCTTGGGGGGGGGGCTGCAGGGGGTGGTAGTGATTCTGTGCAAGTGAAGAGACTCTTTCCCTCACCGGCTGGTCCCTCCAGAAGGTGGAGAAGAGTGGAGCCTGTGCTCCTGCCAGCTCCTCTCTCTCCTTTTCACCTCCCTCCCCCCCCTCCCCGTTTCCCTGCAGGAAATGGCCAGCGCCTTTGCCCAGACGCACCTGCGCTCTGTTATTTTGACGGTGAGTCCCGGGCACAAGGTCCCAGGGGTGGGGTGGGGAGCAGGGGGTGGAAAGAGCAAGGCAGCTCTTTGGAATCCTTGGTGCAGCCCTTCAGTTCAGTCCCCCTCTGGCATCACCGCTGCCAGGCTGTGAGGATGGGGGGGGGCTGCTTTGCTCTGGGGTGGCCCTCCCTTGTCTCCTCTCCTTGTGTCCTTCTGCCTCCTCCTCCTCCTCCTCATTGCCTCTCTCACAGCATGTCATTAGAGGAAACCGCCCAATCAAAACGGAGATGGCCCACCAACTGTATGTGCTTCAAGTCCTGACTTTTAATCTTCTGGAGGAGCGGATGATGACCAGGATGGACCCCACTGACCAGGTAACGGCGGGAAGGGCTGGCCCTCCCCCGGAAGGGGCCCGGCAGCTGCCCTCCTGCCGCCCAGGCACAGAGCTCACCTGTTCTTCTCCTCTGGCGGGGCGCTGCGCAGGCCCAGAGAGACATCATTTTCGAGCTGCGGAGAATTGCCTTTGAGGCGGAATCCGAGAGCAACAGCCTTGTCCCCGGAGGAGGAGGAGGGGTGGAGAAGCGCAGGGCTATGTACACGAAGGACTACAAGATGCTGGGCTTCACGGTAGGTGGAAAGGGCGGCTCAGCTGGGCAGGGCAGGTCTGGTTTCAGAGGCCACCAAGAGGGTCCCTGCAGAGGGCTTGGGGATCGGTGCCCTCCTGCGGCTTTGCATGGTTTCCTCCTTGCTCTTACAGAACCATATCAACCCCGCTCTGGACTTCACCCAGACCCCTCCTGGGATGCTAGCCTTGGACAACATGCTGTATCTGGCCAAACATCATCAGGACACCTACGTCCGGGTAAGGGGTGACGACGGCCTCCTTCCTCCACCGGGGCCAGCTTTCCCCACCTCCCCCTTGATGCCTCCCTTCCCACCCTGCAGATTGTGCTGGAGAACAGCAGCCGAGAGGACAAGCATGAGTGCCCCTTCGGGCGCAGTGCCATTGAGCTGACCAAAATGCTGTGTGAGATCCTGCAGGTCGGGGAGCTCCGTAAGTGAGGTGGCAGACGAGGGAGGGAGGGAGGGAGCAGGCGAGCAAAAAGCAAGGAGAACGGGAGACCGCTCTCGTTGGCTGCCTGTCCTGCTGGGGCTGGAGCGGGCCCCTGCCTGGTGTGGGAGGCAGAACTGCCAGGTCCACTGCCAGCTTGCGGGCAAGGGAAGCCCCCTCTTGAGTGGGGCTGTCCTCCACGGGCCGCTGGGACCGGGATCTGCAGGGTTCCCACAATCTCGCCACCTCTCAAATCTTCAGGAACTTCCTTTGTTTTGTGTGCTCCACCCAAGACAGCTGGAAACATCCTCAAATAAGCAACCCCACTGTGAGCACCATTCAAATCAAGTGAATACATTTTTTTGGAAAAATACAGGAACGAACAAAATACACAGATAAAAAATACAGTGGGGTCTCGACTTACGAACGACCCTACTTGCGAACAATTCAACTTACGAACCCCCCCCCCCTATAGGGGAAATAAGGACTTGCCATACAAACTTCCCTCGAGTTACGAACAGGAAAAAAAGTGCCCCCTCCCTCCCCTTAGAGGCTTCTGGAGGGGAAAAAAGGGTCAGAAACTTTAAAATAAATAAAAGAAAGTCACTTACCAGGCCTTGGTAGCCCCCAAACAGCAGGAAAAAGAGCAGGAAACAGCTAAAAGCCCACACCAGAAGGGGGCCTGGCAGCCATTTTGTGCTCCCCCCCTCCTGCCCTCTCCTCTCCCCGCCTATCAGCTGATCGGTTGGCTCTGAAGAGGCTTGGGGAGGCTTCCTCAGCACCTAAAAAGCCTGCCTGTGTGTCTTTGTGCTGAAAAAATCAGCACAACATGCTTTAAAACATGCTTTAAAATTGGCTTCGTTGAAAAAAACGATTTCTAAAGTGATTTGCAAACTGTTCCCTGCCTTCCTCCGTTTCCTGCACCTAAGGGGAAAAAAGAAACAAAATATCCCCCTCTAGTGGCAGTAGGCAGAATAGCAGCTTCCCATTAGTTTCTATGGACGGAAAAGAGCAGATACGGATCAAATGGTTTTCAATGCATTCCTATGGGAAATGCAGATTCGACCTACGAACTTTTCGACCTAAGAACCACCTTCCAATACAGATTAAGTTCGTAAGTCGAGACCCCACTGTAATACAGGAGAATAGTTTTGATGTCACATGCCAGTCTGTTTCTGCCTCCCTTCTAAGAGTCACTCAGAGTGAAAATTGACTTTGCCACTTGGGAGGGAGTGCCGTCCATACTCTGGGAACCCCACAGGGGAAGGCGGGCCCCAGGAAATGCTCCTACTTTTTTGAAGAGGGCCTTTCCTGAGAATCTGGACAGATTGAGAAGAAGACAGGTGGTCCCTCCCTCAGTTAGCCAGGCCCTTTTTAGGAACTCATCTCTCAAGCATTCCTGTTGTTTCATTTATTTATTTCTGCCTTGTCAGAATGTGGGCATTTACAATATAAAATGGTCCTTTTCCTGTTTTTGACCAAGATTCGTCTTACGGCATCCTGACTTTCAGCTGTGGCTGTGCCACGTCCCTGTGGATGAAGCCGAGCCCTTTCGGATTGATGCTGGTCTGTTATGTCCCCCTAGTTAGAACAACTTGCAGAAGGGATTTGCGTCTCCTGACTCCCATCCCGTGCGGCCTCCTGCACAGTGAGGCGTCTTTCCTCCTGAGCATGCTCTGAGGAGCGGGGCTCTGTGTCCCCCATGCAGTTGCTACTGCCTGAAGCCAGGCTCTCTAAGGACATCACCAAGAGGGTCCAAATTCTGCAGTCACTCTGCCGTTTTAGTTTTTGCTCAGCTTTTGCATAAGCTTTTTCCAAATCTTGCCGTCACAGGGCAGAAGGAAGGGCAGGGAGCTCTGAAGGTTGCTGGAGCCGAGATACATTCAATGGCTCTTTCCTCTTCTGTCCCAGGTCTCTTAGCTGGCAGAGCCTTTCCTTGGGCTGTTCCAAGTTTGCTTTTTAGAGTTGTAACCAAAAGGACTAGAAATTTGTTTTTGTAAAGGAATAAGATGAGTTTTGGGAAGCTGAATTCCCCAGTATCTCAGGTTAGTGTTCCTTCCCTGCAAGAAAATTTCAGCAGGAGCCTGGAAAAAGCCTGTTAGTTCTGGGCCATTTGCTATTACGTGCTCTTGCTGTGACACCCTACCCCCCCTACACACACATCCCAAGGATCCATTGGGATCACTGGCTGCCGCTTGGACACCCTGTTTCTCCCTCTCTGTGCAGCCAATGAGGGACGGAATGATTACCACCCGATGTTTTTCACCCACGACCACGCCTTTGAGGAGCTCTTTGCTGTTTGCATCCAGCTGCTCAACAAAACCTGGAAAGAGATGCGGGCAACAGCAGAGGACTTCAACAAGGTGGGTGGGTGCAGGAAAGCAGGCCTCCTCTTTCTCCTCCTCCTTCTCCGGCGGTGGGGGTGGCACCGCTCCCGCTGTTGTTCCTCCTCCTCCTCCTCGTCCTCCTGCTGAGGTAGGGGATGCCTCCCCTTTTGGCCCCTGTTCCTCCAGGTGATGCAGGTGGTGCGAGAGCAGATCACCCGGGCCCTGCCCTCCAAGCCCAGCTCCCTGGACCAGTTCAAGAGCAAGCTGCGCAGCCTGAGCTACTCGGAGATCCTGCGCTTGCGCCAGTCGGAGCGTCTGAGCCAAGACGACTTCCAGTCCCCGCCCATCGTGTGAGTGCTGCCCCTGAAGCAGGGAGTGCGTGGGTGGGCGGGTGGGGGGAGAGGGTGGCAGCCGGCATCCAGGGGCCGTGGGCTCTGCTCTCCAGGTCAGGTGGGATTCTGCTCAACGTGCTGCTATGTGACCCCCACACCACCCGCAGGGAGCTGCGAGAGAGGATCCAGCCGGAGATTCTGGAGCTCATCAAGCAGCAGCGCCTGAACCGCCTCTGTGAAGGGAGCAGCTTCCGCAAGATTGGGAACCGGAGGAGGCCAGGTGGGTGAAGGAGTGGGCAGGGGCTGGGCTGCCAGCGAGGAGGGAGGGAGGGAGGCCAGGCCGCTCTGCCTGGAAGTGGCCCAGGATGGAGGGGGTGCGCGACTCCAGAGTCCAATGACTGAGAGGCCGCAGTGGGGAGGTGGCTGAGACCTTCCTGGATGAGAGGGCAGATGGCAGCTGACTGGGGGTAGATGGGGCGGGGGGGGATCTCTCACCGCCTGCCTACCTGGCTGGGCCTGCGTGGGCAGAGGAGCCGCCCCTCCCCAGTCAACACAGGGCCGTGGCCACATGTCTTGCAGAGCGCTTCTGGTACTGCCGCCTGGCTCTGAACCACAAGGTGCTGCACTACGGTGATCTGGAGGACCATGCACAGGGCGAGGTGACCTTTGAGGCCCTGCAGGAAAAAAGTAAGTTGGGGGGGAGAGGGCCGTGTTGTGCGGTTGAGGTTGAGCCCACGCAGGAGGGGCTGCCCCTTGGTTCCCCTGAGTAAGGCAACGCAGGACCGCCGGGCATCAGTCTGGCGAGGCTGGGAGGAGGGGCCTCTCCTGCAGCGGGTCTGGCCGTCCCGGCCGCCTCCCCTTCTATTGGGACTAATATTTCAAATCCCTTCTCTCCGCCCCGCTCTCCCCCTCCCCATTTGTTTCCTAGTTCCTGTTGCAGATATCAAGGCTATTGTCACAGGGAAAGACTGTCCCCACATGAAAGAAAAGGGTGCCCTGAAGCAGAACAAGGTGGGATCAGCCAAGGAAGGTGTGGGGCAGGTGGCCCCTGGCCTGGCCAGGAGTGGCAGTCCTGGGGCTCTGGCTTTGGGGTGGAAGAGCTGTTTCTTCACACACACACCCTGCCTCTTGTCTCTCCCTCCCTTCCTCCCCCTTGCAGGAGGCACTAGATCTGGCCTTCTCCATCATCTATGACCCAGATGAAACCTTGAACTTCATTGCACCCAACAAATATGAGGTCAGCCCAGCTTGGAGGGGGCCCAATGTTGCCTGCGGGATCTCTTCACAACCTCCCCCGCCCCCAAAAGACTTTGACCTGAGTCCGTCTTCCTCTGCCCTTCTGCAGGCGTCTTGCAGGAGGGAAGCCATCCGGTCTCCACTGTCTCCTCCCTACTGGAGGGGGGCAGGAGGTGTCTATTACTGGGAAGGCCCCCTCCCTGAGTCACGCCCTTCCTGGTGCTCCTCTTTTGGTTCCAGAAGAGTGGGATGCGCTTGCCTGCTTTGTCCGGGAAGCCCGTCCCAGGGCGGTCGATATCTCGGCACACCAGTAGAGGCATGTGCTCAGCGCCCACTGCAGCCTTAGAAGCTTTCTATAGAGGGCGAGATAACCCCAAACTCTTGGGAGCCCGTTTCCCTCCCAAGAGCTTCCTGGTGGAAGTGCGCCTGTCTGATCTGAGGCGCTTCTGCGCAGGCTGCCTTCTGCCTCAGGCGGCCACAGACAGCAGTCGGGCTCTGGCTCCCCGAGGAGAGAGGAGGCGGGCCGGCTTGGTAGGGCAAGGCCTGAGGGAGCAGCTCCTGCTTGGGGGTCAGAGCCAACCGGTCCCCCCTACTCTCTCTGCACGCAGTACTGCATCTGGATTGACGGACTCCACGCCCTGCTGGGGAAGGACATGGCCAGCGACCTGACCAAGAGCGACCTAGAGACTCTGCTCAGCATGGAGATGAAGCTGCGCTTGCTGGACCTGGAGAACATCCCCATCCCGGAGGTGCCCCCGCCCGTCCCCAAGGAGCCCAGCAGCTACGACTTCGTCTACCACTACGGCTGATGGCACCACGGCGGAAAGGGTCCCGGGCAGCCGTGCCGGGGGAGCGTCCGGCTCTCCTCTGTGCGCAGGACCTCGGGCCTCTTGGACTGCAGGAAGGACCCTTGCTGTGTTTCGTTTTGCCTTCTGGGTGCTGACTGCCCCCCCTTTGTAAACGGGGGGAGCTTAGTGGGTTGAAGGCAGCCACAGGCTCCTGCCAGAGCGGCTCTTGCTTGCACAGAAGCCAAGTCCTAGCGCTGGGCCTGGTGCCCTGTTCCCCTGGGGAGGTGGCTGCCCTTGGCTCGCCTCTGCCGGCTGGGCTGGGCTGGATTCGGCCCTGTTGGGGGTGAGCAGCTGTGCTTCCTTTTTCTGGAGGGTGGGGTGGACACAGGCTGATGATAGCAGTAGAGGACTCCAGCAGGGGCCTGATCCACCTCCACTCTCAACAACCTCTAAGTGTAGGGGGCTCTACAGCGACCAGCGTGCAGGCCAGAGGCGATGGAGCCCGTGGAAGCACTGCGGGGTTGTGTGGTGCCCGTGGGCAACAAGCTGCAGCCCACCCCGGGGCTTTTGAGGCCACTGCCTCCATGATGAAGGGCAGAGCCCCCCCTGGACACGCCCTTGGCCCCAAAGGACTGCCTCCCTATTGCTCAGCCGATTGCTCCCTCCCCCCCATACATGGGCTGGGCCTGGTGCATGGCCCCTCCCTCCAACCTTACATTGTTAAAGGCTTTTCCTTCTCCTTTAACCAGCTCCTGTTTTCCCTCCTGAGGTCTGTGCCAACTGACCACTCTACCCTGTGCTTGTGTCTATTGCTGGACCGCCAACAGCAAACTGCACCCACGCTGGTCCCTGGTGTGAAGGTTCAGCTGTAACGAGGGTCAGAATGTGTCGCTTCATTTCCGTGTCTTCTCACACAGGAGAGCTCTGTGCAGACATTCGTGGGCAAGTTTGGTTCCCCGCTGGAGCTAACGTTAAAGGAAGGCTTCTTCTGGCGTGCTTATGTTGTGCCATCGAGCCACTTCTGAACTAGTCACCTCTGAAAGGTCCCATCGCATACAACTCTGCCCAGGTCTTGCCAACTCCTGGGGTGAGGGGTGGGGTCTTCCTCTTTTCCTGCTCTCTTCCACTTTTCCTAGCCTTTGTGTCTCCTCCAGTGCCCAAAATACAATAGCCTTCGTTCAGTCATGCTGCTTCTAGAAAGAATTCAGGCTTGATTTCATCTAAGACCCAGAAGTCTTTCTTAAAGTCCAGTGTGTCTATCTATACTGTTCTCCTCCAACATGTATTTCAAATAAATAAATTATTCCATGCCAGCTTTCTACACTGTTCAGCTTTCAAACGTCTGTGCATAATACTTGGCAGTACTACCGCGTGGATAGCTGTGGCCTTCCTGGCATTCCACTCCCTCATAGCCACCCTTCCTTGTCTGAGTCTTTTTCTGGGAGTATCTTAGAAGAGGTAGCCGTGTAAGTGTCTGTGCTGGCATATCAAGGAAAGACAAAAGTAAGAAATAAAGGAGGCAAAAGCATTGTGGCACCGTCAGTTTCTGCTTCTTCAGGCCTTGCCTGAAGAAGGGGGGCTTGTCTACAAAAGCATGCTTAAAAATACAGTATTTAGGTTTTAAGGTGCCATGTTTTTGTATATTTTTCTTTTGTTTTTGCCCAGTATGCATGCTAACCTTTTTCTGATTTGTTTGTTTGTTTTCCTTTTCAGTCATTTGGACTGATGATTGTACCGAGAGATAGAAAATCTCTTTAAGAATTTTAATTATTTCATTGTCACAAATTTCCACACCTCCTTCATCTCAGTGAAATCCAGTTTTCCGTATGCTAGGCTATGTTCTTTATTATGCAACTTGGATAGATAAGGAGATTCCATTCAAACAGTAGCTTCTTGTCCAGAGTATCAACTATGCATCAGGACAATCAAGTGTTGAGGCAAACCAGTTTCTTTCAGAACAATCCACAGCTTCTGAGCCACATAGTCAAAGGCTTTGCTGCTGCTGGGCTACAAAACATAGACTGGTCCTCTTTGAAATTTCTTGGTAGGCCTCAGTAGCCAACGTATAATTTTAGTGGGATCTCTGATGTCTCTTCCTTTTTGAAATCCAGCTTGGAACATTCAGTATGTCTCACTGTATTTATGGAAAAAAATGTTTATTGAAAAATATGCTTGCACAGGAAGTTAATGAGATGGTCTTACATCTTCTGCACTCTTTGGTGTTTTCTTTCTTTGGGACTGGAATACGAATGTTTGTGGGCCATTGTCTTGTTTTCTCTATGTGTCAGTCCTGTTAGGATTTTGATAGATTCGATTGTTATAGCTTGAAAAGGTTCTGTGTATCCCATCTACTCTTCTTGACTTGTTTCTTCCAGGTGCTTTCAGAGCAATTTTCACTTCACTTTCTAAAATGTAGGGTCTTCATTACAGGATTTCTCTTCAAAGGAATCTGTTATCATTTCATCTCTTCAATGTACTGTTTCCATTTACTCTTTATTTTATTTTGAACAAAGAATGTGGTTCTCCTATTGATATTTTAGCATCCCTAATCTTGGTTTAAATTTCTCTTTATTTTCTTGAATCTTATGGAGGAGATATCTGGCTCCCTACCCCCCCCCCCTTTAACTGTTCCTTTATATTTACTTGCGCTGATTATCACAATAGTCCTCTTACATAAGAGTCTCTGAAAAGTTGCATCTAGGATTCTGATCCTATTTCTGCCAGTTTTTCTTTTTGTTTCTTGTCTATTAACAATTTTAAGAGTTTTAGCATTCATCCATGTAGGAGCGTCCTGGTGCGGGAGTTAAACTGCTGTCCTGCTGCCAACACTGTGCTCATGTCCCAGGCAGCCAGCTCCAGGTTGACTCAGCATTCTATCCTTCCAAGGTTAGTAAAACAAACTCGCTTGGGGGTGGGGGGAGGGAATGTGTATCCTGCATAATTAACTTGTAAACCGCCCAGAGAGTGCTTGAAGCGCTATGGGGGGCGGCATATAAGCAGCACGCTTTGCTTTGCTTTGAGCTAAGGGAAAAGTCTTTTTGTATTCTTCCCTGAAAACCTTGCTGCTTAAAATCCACAGCTCTTTTGGTTCACAGTTAAGTTTACTAATCCAGATCTGCTTTTTATATGGATTTAAATTTTATCAGAAATGTGATTAAATTATATTTTGGTACTATAAATGTTTTAGTGTTGTTCTTCAGCTCTACTCCTAATTTTTCACACTCTGCTCCCGGTTTTGTTTTGGCAGAGGGAATACAGCTTCTCTGTCAACTACTTCCAATTGTGCAGTTAATTTGATTTCTCTGTTGGTTGTCTAGTGATGCCCATATGTACAGTTGTCTGTTTCATTGCCTGTAACTGCAATAAAAGTGGATGGATTTAGAATTCTACAAGGTACTTTCCTGCTTCTTTTCTTATTGATAGACCAAATTTTTTGACAAGGTTTGTTCCTATGTCATTTCCTTCTTTTGTGTTCCGTGCACCTATGATTATCAGCATATTATATTTTGGTGTGTGATCCATTTCCTCCTGGACATTTGCATAATACCCTTTAGTCTAGATCTGAATGATTGTTATTATGGCCCCTAACTGCTTCTGCTACATCATGCCTCATTAGTTAAACTACGTTATTTTTCTGGTTTTGCCATTTCATGAATGGAAACACTTTGTAATTGTCTGACTGAAGATATCCTCTTTCAGTCCACCTCAGTTTGATCCTACTAAGTACTCCAGTCTTTAATTGTTCCATTTCTCACTTTACAGTTTCCAGTTTAACTTAGTTCATACTTCTCATGTTCTATGATCCAATAGTATGTGTTGTGCAGCGTTGAACCTTTTGCTTCTGTGCACATCAGCCATTGGACAGCCTTTTTTGCTAGCTGCATTATTAGTGACCGTGCTATTTGTCCTTGTCCTTTCCTCTTCCCCAGTAGCTGGCCGAGTCTTTCTGACCTGGGAGTCTCATCTTCCAGCACCATTCTTGTTTCCTTTTGGACTCTCTCGCCATAGGGCTTTCATGGTAAGGAAAGTTCACCAGTGGTTTACCCTTGCTATCCTCCGTGCAGTGCTAACAAAAAAGGTTTGCTTGAGTGTCACTGCTGTTGCCTGTGAAAGATCCTCTGCCAGCAGGTGACCTTCAGCTGCCACAGCGGCTGCCCAGTAGCTGCCCTCAAGGAGCTCCTCCATGGCCATCACTCTTGGAGCCTGCTGATGTGACCTTTAATCTTGAAGAGGGTGGATTAATCTTAGGCTGGTGTCTCAGCTTTCCACATTCCACTTTGGATCTTCTTCCTATCAGAAGCGCCATAATACAGTTGATAGCCATGCAACATTAAGATCATGAGAAAACTAGCATTAAATCTTCCCTAGCCTATCCTGAGGAGCAGAGAGTGCACGGAAGGTGTGAAGTTGCCGGTTCTTCTCCAAACTCACAAAGGACTGTGTCTGTGTAAACACCCCCCTCCCCATTTTCCTAGGTTCGCTTTGATTCTCACCCACTCCACCCCATAGCCTAGAAAGTGACTTCCAAGTAGCCCAGTTTTCTCTGTGTATCTAAGGCTAGGCCTTCCTGGGACCTGTCCTGTTCTAAGAGGCAGGTAATTCTCCTGGCATTCCTTGCTGTTCTTTCGGGATTCTCGGAGGCGGTGCTCCTGGCCGGTGAGCCGTGGGGCTGGACCGAGGGCAGAGAGCGCTCAGCTCTTTTGCACACCGCGTCATCCCCCCCCCCGACAGCCTGCCAGGGCCCTGCTGCCACCGCGCCCGGGAAAGAGCCGCAGGGCCCTCTAGCCTAGCGGGTGCGCCACCCTCGCTGGCGCCTCCCTGCTCCCCCAGAGGCCAGGCAGCCGTCGCCCTGGGCCAGCGCAGGTCAGGGGGGCTGATCTTCCTGTGCGGGGCAGTGTTGCTGCATGAGCGGGAGGCGCGCCTGTGGGAGTTGCTGCTGGGCACCGCTGGGCGACAAGGCGAAGGGCGCCCTCCTGCCCCTCGAGGACTTTCTTGGGGACGTCTTCAGAGGGCACCATGCCCCTGGAGGCGCAGAGGGCCATCCGTCCTGGAGCTTGAGCGCCTCAGCAAGACCGGCTTCTCCTGACAGGGGGAGTAAGTCCAGCCAGGATGTGTGGACAGCACTCTGCTTAGGCTCAGAGGCACTCTTCCCACCAGCACCCTCAGTTCGGGGGTGCTGGCTGTTCCTTCAAAGCACCCCACACCCCCTCGGCCTTCTCCCAAGCCTGAGCCTGGCGTCCTGCGACCCCTCTGGACAGCAGCCTCAGCATGTTTTGCACGCAATGTCCACAACTTTTCCTCTTCTCTGGGCATGTGCAGAGTGCCTCGAAGCTCAGCTGTAGGCTTCCCATGGCTTGCACCTCCCTCATGAGCTAGGCTTTCTTCCTCTTGTTCTGTTGCCTGTTGGTTTCCCTAAGCGGGGTTGCCTCGCTTGCGGCCACCGAGAGGACTCGAGCCCGTCCGTCTTGGGCAGGTGGGAGGTCAGGGAGCGGGAGGGCGCTTGTGCTCAGGCACTCGGCAGTGCGCCTCTCCGCCGCCACTCTAAAGACGTGAGTCTAGGGCTTAAGGGGCGTGGCTTCCGGGCCACGTCGCTGCGGGCGGCGAGTCCGGGCGGAAGCGAGTTCATGAAGGGTGTTAAGAAGGACAGCAGTCCTTCCCCTTAGAAGCATGGGTTGATTAACAAGAACCACAGGAAGAAACTTGCACATAGGCACCACAATTATGCGATTCATGATGCTTCAGACATCAGATTTCGTCTTGCTCCAGATTGTCAAGAGCTGAAAATTTGTGTTTGTTTTCCCCACCTTGTAGATATTTATCTGTGCACAGAAGTCAATCCTTTTCTGTGCAATGTTACATCTGAATCCTCCCCTTCCTGGCTTCTCCTGCAGAGCTTCGCCTTCCCGCTCTTCATGACGCTGCTGCACCTGTTGGTTATCTTCCTGCTGGCCGCCTTGGCACGGCGCGGCTGCTACTGCGCCTGCGCGAAGCGATCCGCTCGCCCGCCCCTCCTCACCTGGCCCGCCTACCTGCGCCAGGTGGCCCCTGCAGGTGAGGGGGCAGGGGAGGGGAGGGGAGGGAGAAGGTGGCCCCACCCCCTGGGGGGGCCTTTCGGGGAAAGGGTGGACTGGCACACACACGCCCCCCCCATGATCAGCGAGCAAAGGCCCCTTATCCAAGCATCCCCCTCCCCTCCCCTCCCCCCCAGGAAAGGTTGAGGAGGTGCCAGGAGATGCGAGGGGGGGGGAGAAAGGGAGGTAGGAGGGTGGGGGGGAGGAGGGAAATGGGGTTCCCAGGCTCAGCCTCACAGGGGCTGGATCCGGGGTGTGGGTGGAGGTGAGGGAGGGTCTGCTGAACCCCATGTTCAGGTGCAGTATACCTGGAGTGGGGCCAAGCAGCAGCCATGCCCTGTGGTCCTTCTCTGGTGGCCTTGCACTCTTTCCAGAGGCACCTTCCCCCCCAACCCCCCCCCAAGCAACAGAAGGTTGGTGCCGGGTGCCATGGCCAGCTTCCCCCTGATGCCCCCCCTCTTGTCCCCCAGCCCTGTCAACGGCCCTGGACGTGGGACTGAGCAACTGGAGCTTCCTCTACATCACTGTCTCCCTGTGAGTAGGGCAGGGGTGGGGCTGGAGGTGCAGGAGGGGAGCAGCAGGTGCCCCCCCTTCTGGCCCCCTGCCGGCCTAACAGCCCCCTTCCTCCCTTCCACAGCTACACCATGACAAAGTCCTCGGCCATCCTCTTCATTTTGTTCTTCTCCCTGGTTTTCAAGCTGGAAGAGCCGGTAACCCTTTGTCCCTCTGGGGGGTGGGTGTGGGGTGTAGGGCTGCCGGGAAGGGGGGCTGGTTCCATCAAGGCTCT